AGGGGAGGTGGGGGCCGAGGCAGCACCTGCAGGTCCGTGATGATGCTGTGCTGCACGTCCTCCTTCTGCTCGCCCAGGAAGTGGAAGCTGACGGCGTTGAGAGTGTAGGAACGCAGCTTGTACTCCCGAAGCAGCACCTGGGGCAGGGGGCGGGGGGCACGGTGGGTGCAGGCCAGGACCGAGCGCCGGGGCTCAGGCTATGCTGCCCACCCACTCACCCACCGTACCTGCAGCATGTCCATCTGCACGCGGCCCACCATGCTGACCACCTTGCTGTCCCGCCGGCCCGTCTGCTTTGACTGGAAGGACGAGTCTCGGATGGTAGAGCGGAGCCCGGAAACTCGGCCCAAGAAGGGAAACGCCTGCACCTGGGGGGACAGTGCAGTGCGGACACAGTGTCAGCCACTGGACAGAGGAACAGAAACGAAATATGACTGCCCACTGCCAGAGAGAGCCCCAGAAGGGGCTGCAACCATAGAGCTATGTGGGGAGAGATAGAAGCCAGGGAGGAGACCGGGGTAGAGTCTGGGGGTGAGGGGAAAGTGGAAGCCAGGAGGCACCAGCTGCGGGGTGCTCTTACTCATCAAATTATATGCCCCCCAACTTGGCTGGGACACGGTTCTCTCAGTATTCCAGTTATCCCTCATTTGTGATAAGATGTAATCATGCTTCATACTGTAAATCTTTACCACTGTTTTTAGTGAGGCAGGATTAGTGAGTGATATGTTAATAAAGCAAGATGGAATATATAGGATTACACTATGTATCTTTTACTGGTTTTATTAAGTCTTGAGTCAACCTCTCTCGAGATATATACATACGCATGTATCTATAAATGTATTTAAAAGAGCCAGCAGAGAGAGCTCAGTACCAAAAATAGCAGCGGGAGCAATGTGCAGCCCTCAGCCCTGGGCTCTGTGCTGAGAACCTCCTAGACCCGGGTGAGGCCGATGCCCAGATACATGAGACCCTCAAGGCACACCAGGCCCACAGATGCTGGTTAGAGATAAGGCCCTTCCCCCAAAGCCAGAAAGCTATCCTCTAGAGCTAGCCCTGAGCTCAGACTTCTCACCTACTCAACTGAGAAACAGTTAAGACAAAATAGCTAAGATGGGCACCATGGCCCAGTGGCCGCCACTAGAAAGTGGATAGGCAGGGTGGATTCCACCCCAGGGTCTCAGAAGGAGCCAAGGCAGCCAGCACCCTGGTCTTGGACCCCAGCCCTTGGGACTGGGAGGCGAGACCTTTCTATCATTTGAAGCCACTCAGCTGGTGGTGACTTGGTGACCCTGGGAGACTCCTAGAGGCCCTGGTTGGGCAGCAGTTAAGTGCTCAGCAGCTGAATGAAAGCTGGTGGTTCAAAGCCATGCTTGGAAGAGTGATCTAGCAATCTGTTCCCCTAAAGATTACGGCCTAGAAAACCCCACAGCACAGTTCTACTGCAAATATCCGGGGTCGCTTTGAGTCAGCATCAACGTGAAGGCACACAACAGCAGAAAATTATCACAGGGATCTCCAGAGGGGTCTTTTTCATTATGAAATTGGCCAAACGAAAAGCAGGGAAAGAGCACATCCCCTTGACGCCCACCCACACCCTGCTTCCACAGGTATCAAGACACGGCCACGTGTTCTGGGAAATGAAAAATGCACTGACACGGAGTTGATTCCAAATCACCACAAGCCTGCAGGACAGGGCAGGGCTGTCCCACAGGCTTCCAGGGCTGTACTCTTCCTCCCATGGGACAGCTGGTGGATTCGAACCACCAACTTTCTGGTTAACAGCCTGACACTTGGCCCAAAGTGGCATCAAGGCTCCACCAGACTCTACAGAAGCTTTTCTTTCCCTTAGTCTGTGTATGTTTTTCAAAGTGAAAACTAAGACCACAGTCCCTGCACCCCAAAGCACTTCAGTCTACACCCCGAACACACAACTGGGGCTTTTTTTCAACCATCCCACATGACTGTGGATAAAAGTAGCAGACTGTCCATGCACTGGGGGAGATGGACGTGATTGGTATGCGATCAGGAGGGAGCAAGCGGGCCTTGGAGCAGGACATCATGCTTGGTAAAAGTCAAGGGTCAGTGAAAGAGAGGAAGACCTTCAAGGAGGTAGACTGACACAGAGACGGACAGTGACAGCCGAGAGAATGAGCTGAGATCAGGTAGGCTCCGATTTGTGGCAGACGGATGGGGTCGTTGAGAGCTGGAAGTGACTACACAGCAACAGAGGGACAACTCTGTGGCCTTTAGGGAGAGTGAGGGCAGGAGCAGGGCTGGGTCCTCAAGGGTGTTTCCAGTCACTGGACAGAGGAATGCTGGGCCTCGCGCTGGACAGAGCCCTGAGATGCCCCCTCCCCAGCACTCTTCCTTACCTTGAGGGTCTGAGCCCTGGAGATGAGGTACGGAAGGTCAAAGTTCTGGATGTTGTAGCCTGTGATTACATCTGGGTCCATGGCCCGGATGAAGTTAGACCAGGCCTGGGGGACGGGAGCACACAGGGGTTACCCAGGGTAGGCTCTGGCTGGGGAGACCTCCATCAAACATTACGTAGAATGTTCTGGAGGCCACCGTCAAGCACAGCCCTGGTGCCCTCCTGCCCATGGTGGAAAGATGGGCCCAGCATTTCAAAAAGGCTGATACAGAGCCAAAGGGAAACGTCTGTCCCTCGACACACCGAAGGAAGCCAGGTCCACCCCTCGGGGTCACGTCCACGGGCTCTGCGGGGCTGACAGGGGCAGTCACCTGCAGCAGGTCCTCCTCGGTCTCGTAGCTCTGCACCTTGGCGCCCAGGATCGGGGCACAGCTCTTCAGCGTGAGCGCCAGGCGCAGGAAGGGCTCCGGCTCGCCCCAGCGCAGGCCCAGCGAGCAGATCTGGATGACGGGGTCCCGCTCCGGCTCGGGGAAGATACCTGGAGGGGCGGGATGTGTGTGTGTGCGCGCGCGCTGTCCAGGTGCTGACTCCTTCCTCACCACAGACACCCCAAAACCTGACTGCTCACGGGAGCTCCTGCTTATCTCACCCTGCCCCCCTGTTGTTCTCCAGCCTCACCCAGAAGACTGATGGCTGCAATCATGAACTCCCCACAAGGACAGGAACTCCCCAGTCCTGAACAATTCACTCCTTTTCCTCTGTGCCCTCAACTCCTGCCTTCTCGCCTTCACTCACCCTGTTCCAGGCCACTCAGGTCCCCCAAGAGTCCTCACACCCCCAGGATGGTTTGCCTCAGGGCCTCTGCACTTGCCATTCCTTCCACTGGGACCGCTCGCCCTGCCTTCTCTCCTCCGTCTCTTCTTTGGCCTGTCTCCTCTCCTCCGTCAGGACACCCCTGCCCTTCTACCCTGCCCACTGGCCTGGTGGGCATTTCTAGTCTCGGGACGAATCAGGGGCTCGTAGCTAAGGTGGCTTCGGGCCCCTCCTCCCCCGCACAGGCTCAAGAAGCCAAGGATTGAAGCCCGGCACAGACTGTCCGTAAGCGGCGGCCGAGGGAAGGGTGGGGAGCCGGGGCCAGGACAGACCTTTGCGGCCCGCGCACTCGATGTCAAAGCTCAGCACGCGCAGGGGTGCGATCCGCTGCCACTGCCCCTCTGGGGGGTGACTGATCACGCTGGACCAGAGGACGTCCACCTCCAGCTGGCACAGCGTCGTCTGGGGAAGCCGAAGCCCGAGTGTCAGCAGCGTGTTCTGGGCTATCGGCCCCACCCGCTGGCCACCCAGTGTCCACTACACCTTCTCCTGGGGCCTCAGGACATATTTCCCGGGTGGGAGTTCCAGCCAGTTGCAGCCCACGATGCCTGTATCCACCATGAACCTGCAAAGAAGGACTGAGAGTGAGAGGGCAGAGGCTGAAGGGAGGGGAGCAGGGCAAGAGGGAGGCGAAGACAGAGGGGGCTGTACCGGATCTCAAAGTCCACGTTGGCCTCATAGGGTGCGAAGCTGGGGGTGCCCAGGCCGGGAACACGGACACCTTGCTCCAGGAGGCGGCGGGCGGGGGCCACGAGACGGGGCAAGGCCAGAATGATACGCAGGAACGAGGAGGGCCCGTGCCCGTGGTAGCCATACATGCCTGCAGGCAAGTGAGGCTGGGACCCACCTGCAGCCCTGCCATCCCACTCCACAGCCCTGCCCGTCCTCCCTCCCTCCTCGGGCACCCGCCCACCCGTCCTCCCTTCCTCCTCCATCCAGGGCCCTCCACCCGCACTCACTCTCACGAGTGCAGAGCTCCACGGCCAGCACGGCGGGCCCCGAGAGCTCCTTCCCTCCACGCTGGTCCCGGCTGATGGCCGCATTCAGCTCCTGCTTCAGCTCGGCCAGGTGCTGGGCCCCGAAACCTGGGAACGGGAGGGAGGGCCTGAGGTTGAGGGGCCTCAAAGATGGGCAGGGTGAGGCCTGGGTACTGCGGGGCTCGTGGGATACTCACCAGGGGGTGCTGGAGTGTAGAAGTAGGGTGCAAAGCCATGGATGTGGCAGCAGACAGAGTTGCCGGCGTCGGTGACCCCAAAGGCCCGGAGCACAGGGACGGAGGCCTGGGATGCTGGGGGCGCCCCAGGTAGTGGGAGGGACCGGGCCGGGCCTGCGGGTACAAGGTTAAGATTGGCATCTTAGTAGGTTCACTCTGACATGTTGCCTTCTTTAATTTTTTCAATATGCCAAGTTTTTATTTTTGTTTCATTTCTTGTGTTTTAAACACTCTTCAATGACACCCTTGGGCTGGGATTCTTTGCCACAGTCCTTAACAACCACACAAGGGCAGACAACTCTACTTTGAGGGGCTTTGCCTGTCAGTTTTGCAGAGGCCTCCCCACTCACCCGATCTCTTATTGTCAACAACCTGAACATGGTGTTCAGCACAAAAGGCCTATACTAACTCGACACACACAGGCCCACTGCAGCAAGCACACACGGATGGGCTTGGTGCTTGTCCGAGGCTCTGGCAGTCTCGCGGATTCCACCTGCTAGGCCATCGCTGGTGAGGGCAGTCTTTAGCACCTCTTGTAAACATCCATTAACGTCCCTTACACCTCCCTCCAGCAGCAACGCCTGCCCCGGCCACGGCGGTGGGGTATGGATGTAGCATGATCTGGAATGCACCCAGGTCTCTGCCTCCCTCTACACAACTCAGCAGTGACTGGGGGTGTGGTGGGGAGAAAGTCCACATGTCACTTCTTGAGTCTAGCGTTTTTCCTTTACGAGGACGCCTGCTGGAGACTGAACAGACTTGCTAACTGTCAATGCACTGCCGTCCGGTGTGGACTGATTCACAGCTGACCCTCCAGTGGGCTTCGAGAGGTTGTAAATCGTGTGGGAGAAGACTGCCCGTCATTCTTCCTCTGTGGAGCAGCTCGTGGGTTTGAACCACTAGAGGGGCTGCTTTTGTGTTTAACAGCGTGACTCCGGGTAGGCAAAGCCGGAGCTCCCCGCCTGCCAAGGAACGAGGCGAGTCCCAATTCGGGGTGATGGCGGGGTCAATGGGATGAGATACTGCCTGGTCCTGAGGGAGCCCCCGTGACCGAAAGTAGGTACGATGAAGGCAGGATTTCACACTGGGGAAGATCTCCAAGGGCTTACTTTTGGGATTTCAGTGCAGCTTCTTGTCACCAATGGCTTACTTTTGGAAGGAGACTGCCAGACCTTTCTTCCTAGTCTTACCCTAGAAGCTCCGCCGAGATCTGCCCAGCATTACGGTAGCTGGCGGATGGATGGTGGGTGTATGTGCGGTCGGCCAGTGAGAACGGAGCCCAGGTCTCCTGGGGGAGGTGAGAACCCTACCAGTGGACCCTCACTCCTCTGTGGACTGGGTGGTGTCCCTCAAAAATGCGCTGATGCCTGCCCCAAAACCTTTGACTGTGTATGGAAATAGAGTTTGGGGGATCTATCAACTAAGTTCAGGAGGTCACGCTGGAGAAGACTGGAGCGTAATCCCATGAGAACGGTGTCCTCATAACAGAGGACAGTAGAGCGAGAGAGACGGGAAGACCCTCACATGAAGCGGGAGGGACGCAGCTATGAAACAGAACCCCTGCTATTGGGCTGACCTGACCCAGAGTCCCAAGCAGGTCAGAGGAGACCCCGCCCCCTCAGCTCCCAAGGCTGCGCTCTTTCCCAGGCCCCTCTCCAACAAAGCAGACGTCACAAGGCTCCAGGTCATTGAGACCTTCTGCTCTCCAGTGGTGTGAAAGTTACATTGCGCCTGACCACCTCCGATAAAGCGTGCAGCAGCTCATTGGAAAAGCGTGAAACGCTGAGAGAATGAGCAAGACATGACACGAAACGAGCAGGAGCGTTGGGGGAAATGGTGCCAGTAAGACTTGTTCCACGTAAGGCGGCCCTAAGGCTTCGGTCTGTGAAAAGACACGGTATCTGCAAAGCACAAACGAGCCCAGGCTTCTTCCTCCGGCAGCTTCACGGGTTCGAGCTTCAGCCTGCTGTGAGCAGCTGAATGCTTTATCCACTCTACCACCAGGGGCCCTTAACAGACCCTGTCATAGTCCTTGTTGTGTATCGCTGCCCGGGAAACAGCCCGTGGCTGAGCCTCCGGCAGGTTTTCAGAGACAGTGTAATTGCACAGGAGGACACTGCCCATCTTTCTCCCACAGAGAAGCTGATGGATTTGAACCACCTGCTTTGGGGATGGCAGCGTAGTGCCTGACCACCTGTGGGGTTAATATTTACAGCATTTCTATTGGAGGGACACAATTCCATCTGTCACTCCACCTAAGAAAGGACATGGCCCAGCTCTTCTCCCTGGAGCACCCCAGACTCACCCACATAATGGTCAATCTCCAACTGCTGAAAGATGAGAGGCTCCGTCTGGGGGTTCAGAGGAGGTGGGGAGGGCCGGACCCAGCGGGGGTCTAGCGCTGATGGGGAGAAGTGTCCTGGAGGGATAGAAAAGTGGGGATACACGGAGTCACAGTTCGCCCTTAGAAAACAGGTCACCCTCCCCCATCCAATTGTAAGCCCTCAGAAGCATCCAGTTTGAAAAGTCAGGCAGAACTGGTCTGGAGCGGACAGGGCAACCCAGGGGACGGTGGGGTCAGGAGTCACAACAACCCAGGAGATAGTGGGGTCAGGGGTCAGGGCAACCCAGGGGACCGTGGGGTCAGGGCAACCCGGGAGATGGTGGAGTCAGTGGTCAAGGGAGCCCAGAGACCATGGGGTCAGGGGTCACAGCAACCCAGGAGATGGTGGGGTCAGGACAACCCAGGGGACCATGGGCTCAGGGCAACCCAGGAGACAGTGGGGTCAGGGGTCAGGGCAACCCAGGAGATGGTGGGTCAGGGGTCAGAGCAATCAGGATACCATTGGAGTCAGGGATTAGGGCAAACCAGGAGATTGTGGGGTGGTGGGGTCAAGGCAACCCAGGGGACTGCAAGGTGAGGGGTCAGGGGTCAGAGAAGCTGCAGGTAAGATGTCAAATAATGTCACCAAGTCAAAAGGCAGCATCTCTTGGATTTAAAGGGGAGCTGAGGTGCAGGATCAGAGCGCGCGCGCGTGCATATGTGCGTGCGTGCGTGTGTCCCAGCCTCACCGACCACAGCCCCCTCGGCGGCTGACTGCAGCCCCTCCTCCTCCTGCTCCTGCAGCCGGCGCTCGGCCTCCATCTCTTCCATCAGCGCCAGTTCCTCCTCGAACTGGGACGGCCGCTGTGTGACATCCTCGTCCCACATGCCTGGACGCGCCCGCTTCGGGGGCACCCCGGAGCCCGGTGCCGGCCGCCGCTTGCCCTCCATCCTATAGGGTGAGATGGGGCTACGTTGAGGGTTGGGCAGAGATCACCCCACTATTCCCACCCTCTTCAATGTCCTCATGCACCCACGTCCGCGAGCCTTTTAATCATCCAAAGTGGGTGAAGACGAGGACCTGTCAGCACGCTCACTGGGCGCCTGGTGAGTCCCAGGCACTCAGTAACCACTGTTGTTGTTGTTGTTGTTATGTGCCGTCGAGTCATTTCCGACTCATAGCGACCCTATGCACAACAGCCCTAAACCCTGCTCTATCCTGCGCCA